GAAGCCGTATGTGTTGCAACCAGCAAGGTCATAGGGGTGGAGCTACACAAGCTCGTTAGAGAGAACATCATGATGTCATATACCCCAGACACTGAACGTGGGGCTACAAGGCTTGTTTGCCCACCTGGATTTCAGTCTTGCTTTGGTCCCATTCCGCCTTTCTGTGCCATTTATTTCTCCCTTGTGGTATGGAAAAGTTTACTCTGTGCCATTATATATTGAATATATGTAACCTGCTTTTGAATTTTATGGGATTCAAGCTGAGAATTTGCCTTGAGTCTCAGGAGACGTTGGACTTGAACTTTGGGTAATGCTGGAATTGTTAAGACTATGGTGACTCTTGAAAATGGACTGAATATATTTTGAATTGGGAGATGAGCATGAGCTTTGGGGGACCAGGGGCAGAATACTGTAGTTTAGATATGCAGGGGTCCCCCAAAAGTTCATGTGAGAGAGAATGCAAGAATTTTCAGGGCTTGGATTGTAACTCAGTGATAGAGTGCTTGCCTAGCACACCGGGTTYGATCCTCAGCACCACATAAAAAATAATTAATTAATTAATTAAAGGTAATTAATTAATAATTAATTAATTAAAGGTATTTTAAAATAATTTTCAGAGGTAAGTGATTAGATTAAGAGTTGTGACTGATAGGAGTTGTGATTGACATGTGATCAGTTGTGACTGATATGGATTATCTGGGTGGTAACTGTAGGCAAGTAGGGTGTGGCTGGAGGAGGTGGGTCACCAGGGGCATTCCTTTGGGGTTTATATTTGTCCTTGATGAGCAGAGCCCTCTCTCCACTTTCTGTTTCCATGTCCTGAGCAGCTTTCCCCCACCATGTCCTCCCACCATGATGTCCTGCCTCATCTCAGACCCAAAGCAATGAAGTCAGACATCTATGGACTGATACCTCTGAACCATGGGTCCCAAATAAGCGTGTCCTCCTCTACATTGTTCTTGTTGGGTCTCTTGTGTAGTGACAAAAAAGCTGACTAAAACACAAAATACTCTATCGCCATCTGTAATACCATCAGAGTGGATTAGGACTTCAATATATAAATGTGGGAATTGGGGACTTTGGAGGGAGACCAGAATTCATTCTACAGCAATTTACCACCTGCATGAGCATTTCTCTTCAGGAACTTTGATAAGCCCTATCCTTGGCCAATCCTCAGTGACATTGAGTGGTCTCTTATACACTGTTCTTCAAGCTTTTGTTTTAAGTCACCTGAATCTGTTTTTGTGTCATATACAATAATTTTATATGGAACTCAATGGATGGAATAGATGGGAGTGGAACAGTTCTGGCAAAAATCAACTTTTTCTTGCCCAATGTGGCAGCTCCTTTTTCACGGTTTGAAGGATGAATTTATTTTTTTGAAAACTAATTACAATAAATCAAGATAGGACTCAAGTGAATTCTTGCTCTTAAAAAAAATAGGAAGAAGTTGTTTTTTTTTCTCTGCTGAAAACACCTCTAAAATTCTGATAACAAAAACAAATAGTATGTACAGATTAACTACAAGTATTTGTTAATAATGTACTTAAAATTCACACAGCATGAATAGTATGAATTTAAAAGACTCTGGTACTACTGGGTATTTCTCCGAAGTTAAATTATCAGTGTATCGAAGAGATAGCTGTGCTCTTGTGATCATTGCAGCACTATTTACAATACCCAAGAAGTTTAAACAACTTAGGTGCCACAGCCAATGAAAAAGTTAAGATACTATGTTATATCTTCACAACAGAGTGCTATTCAACCATTAAAATAATGAAATTTTGTCCCTTGTGAGAACATGAGTGGCACTAAAAATCATTATGTTAAGTGAAATAAGCCAGGCACAGGAAGACAAGTACCACATGATCTTATTCATATGTGGAACCTAAAAAAGTTGACCTCATAAAAGTTGGGAGTAGAACAGTGGTTACYGGAGAGAAGGAGAGTAGAAGGAAGGTGGGGGAGGGGAGGAGTTTAATCCATGGGTACAATGGATTCCCAGTCAAGATGGGAACAAAGGAGACTGATATCGGCCAAACTATATTGTTGTTTTGTGTGCATATATGAGTACAGAACAACAAATCCCACCATTATGTTCTCTTATAAGGTACTGTTATGATTTGGATGTGAGGTATCCCCCAAAAGCTCAAGTTTGAGACAATGCAAGAAGGTTCAGAGAAGAACTAATTGGGTTATGAGAGCCTTAACCCAGTCAGTGACATAATCATCTGATGGGCTTAATTGAGTGGTGACTGAAGGCAGGTGGGGTGTGGCTCGAAGAGTAGGGCATTGGGGGTGTGACTTGGAGTATATATTTGTATGTGGAAGTGGAATCTCTCTGCTTCCTAATCATCATGTGAACCACTTAGCTATGCAAYTCTTCCACCATAAAGTTCTGCCTCACCTTAAGCCCTGAGGAATGGAGCCTGCTGTCTGTGGATTGTGATGACCTCTGAAACCATGAGCCCCCACATAAACTTTTCCTCCTCTNGTAGTCTCCATCTTCAGTTACTTCACCACACTTTGTATCTCTTCAGAGTAGAATTCAATGGATTTCATTCACTTTAATTTATTTCTCCTAGATGTTACATAAGCCATTGTGTTTAGAACTAAAAAAAAAAAAAAAAAAAAAAAACTGACTAAAACATGTACCAATAAAAAGTGGGGGAAAAAGGAGCAAGAAGTTCTGGTGTAAATGATAGGTGACTACTAGTAGACAGCAAAAGTGCACTGAATATTTCAAAGAGCTAGAATAAACAACTTTTGATGTTTTCACCATAGAGAAATAAATGCTTGATTAGATAGATATGTTTTAAGTGATCTGTACATTATAAAATTTATACAATACTGAAACAGAACATGGTAATATGTGTAGTTGTTGTTTTTATATACAATTTTAAAATACATTTAGTTAATAAGCATGTAAGACCCTGTGGCTAAGAAAATTGCAATTTTCCTCTATATTTTTAACAAATACTGCTATAGAATTGATTTAATTTGAATGTGTTCATTTCACTGTATTGAATGAAAGAAAAAATGATGGCAAAATAGCCTTATGTGTGATATATATATATATATATATATATATATATATATATATGAGAGCCCAAAGCAACAGAGCCAATCAATTATAGTCTAATATCTCCAAAATTTGAGCCAAAATAAACCTCTTCTTTCTATAAGTTGATTATCTCAATTATTTTGTTATAGTGACAGAAAGCTGACTAATGCATGGGATAATGCTTGTGAAGTATTTAGCATAGTGCCCTATTCAATAACTGAGCTAATATTAATTAGCATTAGTCCTCAGCAGTGCTTGGCAACTCAGTGTAAATTCCTTCCTGGGAGCCATTTTTTTATWAGAGACTTGGAAGAGCTTGGAGTTAGTTCCACCATGAAGACACAGAGGGATGCTCAAAGGACACATATGGCCTCATTTTGGGAAGATCTGGACTGTTACCATGAGACAGAAGAGAGGAGAACACCTGGTGTGGGTTTGGATGTCAAGGATTTATTTGGAGTTGGCAATTAGCATTTTACCTCTGGACAGAAAGTGAAAGCATTCCTGTCCTGAATCAGAACCCATTCAAACCCTTTACTCCTGAAACAGATGTCAGGATAGACCTCAGGGCAAGGTAAAGGGGCAGGAAGAAGACAACAGGAGGGGGAGGGTGGCTTTCTAGGCCCTGCCAGAAGCACCACCCACAATTGCTTCTGCAATTTAGTAAGGCTCTAAGCAACTTAATGAGATCCTGTCTTAAAAAAAAAAAAAAAAAAAGGCCGGGGGATGTGGCTCAGTGGTTAAGCACCTCTGGGCTCAATTCCCAGTACCCAAAATAAGATGAACCAAATGACCTGATGGTAAATAATATATATCCTTGTCTTTATTAAAGTATCAAAACATAAACTTGGCTACAGAAAACAAAACTGTTATTAATGCATTAGTTAAGAATTTTCAATCTCACACTAACCACACACAGTATGATTCTCAGATCAATGTCTCCTGCCATGGCTATCCTCTCTCCCTTTCTTTCTAATCTATTGCTATTCATGGCAGTTTGCAAATTATCTTGAGTTTCCTAACAGCTGGTGGTGGCACCTCTTTACCCATAACCAGAGGGTAAATGCAGGGGAGTTTTGCCCTCCACCAAGGCAAGCATAAATTATCTAGTGAAAGAAATGGCGAATGTACTAACCTCAGATGGTTCTCCACAGATGAGGAACCACCCCTGATGTGCCACTAAAGCAGCCAAACTAAGATGCCTTTGTCATAAGTGATAGTCTAAAGGAACCACACATAGTTCAAAGAAGCAGAGGTACCATTCATGTAGACCAATGTCACAGTTAATGACGTCAACATCGTGAAGGTAGCAGAGTGGCTGATTTTTATTTCTAGCCTGTATTATATGTGTCCAGGCAGTTCCAGAAAATGAGGGAGAATAACTTTCTCTGAATTATCATACCCATCTTGTCCAAAATTATTCTTTCTTCCTCTCTATCCCCCTTCCCATTCTTTTCTGATCTTTAAAATACATAGTTGCCACAATGTGACACACATTTGGATGTCATAACAGATATAATTCAAGTGGATACTTAGGAAGAATGCTGTGGCAGGTCAGTTTTCAAAGGCTCAAGTTGAACAAGAAATGTGTTTTATGCATTTGTATATTCAGAGAAACTGATGGTTGAGGTACTTATAACTCAGATTTTAAATCTATCTAACTTCTATGTTAGCACCAGTTAACTAGGATAAACTAGGTGCTGTGTTCCGGGGATTATCAATAAGAGATCTGAGAAAGAGGACTGAAAGTCAACTAACCTACCTATTGGAGCCCAAAGACAGAGGAGGAGGACACTTGGATAATATTCAAAACTAAATCATCTCCCACAATGGGGAGAAGAGAGAGGTATGTGTGGCTGGGGTGGGGGTAACCTTTTCAACAACAAAGAGCCTAAAAAAACAAAACAAAACACAGAAACGAGTATAACACTTAACGTTGACCACATCTTGGTTCCAAGATTTATTATATTGACAGGTTAAGGATACTAGGATAAATAATATTTTCTCTTACAGAAAAAAATTGTAATGATACTATTAAGAAGGGTTAAACACTCTGAGGATTTCACAGAAACATCAGAATTTTATCAGACAGTAGCCAGAGTCCTTGTGGGCAGTGTGAGTGACCTCTCGCAGCTGCAAATGCTCTGGGCCAGATTTCTTAAAACAGATACATGACCAAAACAGTGCCATTAACATCCAATAATGCTAAAGCCTGGGTATCCCCTGGCTTCAAACCTGCGTCTCCACTGATCAGATTTTAACCACAAGGAAAGGAAAATGGAATATTCTTTGGCTCTTCCACTAGAAATAACTCCTGACAAAGTCACTGAGTGGATAGCTCTAACCCTTTGGAAATTAGACTTTCTTTCTGCATTCTTCCTGTGACATTGTAACTGAGCCTGCAACAGAGGACCCACTGTCAGGCCCATGGATTTTCCCTTAACACCTGGGTGCCAAGGGAAAAAGGAGGCCTCCTCTTTGACCCAGACCTGCTCTGCTGGCCAAAAGACGACGATTCTGCTCTCCCTGGCCTGGCAAGCGCTTCTGGCCACCCGAACATTTTTGTAAGACACTGCCCATGGCGAGGGACCCTCCAGACTCTCAGAAACCAGATCTGAGGAAAACCACGGAAAAGTCACACACCAGTGTTGTACGAAACAAACATCAAAAGAGCATAATGCCTAGTTTTGAAACGAATGCCTTGCACACAGTAATTCCAGGACATAACAGCATATTCTCTAGAAAGCACAACCCTGGCCATTGCACAACTTCAATAAATGTTGTTCTCACTCCATGTCCCCTATGAGCAACAGCGGCAGCTGTAGTGGAGGAGATGGCGCCACTCCACCCATCCAAGGTACAGACCCTTTTGCTTGAATCCTAATGATGGGCATCCTGGTTCTTGTAGAACTCACATGAAAGCAGGCAGGACCCTAATCAGGGGCCATCTGGAACATCTAAGAACAGCCAGTACGTCAAGGCCTAAATCCTGGAGTTGAGGCAGAGGATGCTCTTGACCTGGTCCAAAGTTCACTCTGCAGCAGAGTGGGAAGGCCCTCTCGAGTCACCATGGGCCCTCCTGCCTCAGTGGTTCTCGGCTGCTGGGATTCTAGAGGTGCACAGGAAGTCGGCTTTCCAATGGCTTCAGGGTTTTAGGTGGAAAAAGGAGTATTCGATGAGGACTCCCAGTTGCTGCTTAGCTCTGCAGTGTTCCTTCTTTTATCTGTTGGATAAACAGGTTTCTCTCATCTTCTGGAGTCCGCCCATTCTGAGCCCGGACAATACACGTGGGCCGATGCAGGTTGAGCATGTATATCAAATGCTGCTTCTCATTCTTCAGCTCCTCAATTTGGGCCTTCAGTTCGGCATTCACACTCTCCAGCTTCTCTGACTCCTGGGGGACAAACAAAAGAGGCATTAGGAAGGGAGATCAGGAAGGGCCAGCCAGGACAGGGTGGCAGTGGGGGGGATGGCTGGGGCACCTCAAGGCTCATGAAGCTGCAAGAAATCTGCAGAGGGAAATATCCCCTAACAAAGATGGAAGAGCAGCACTAGGAATGGGAGAATACAAACCCCAGAGAAGCCTTTGAACTTGAGGGGCCCCTTTAGAAAAGCCCTGGAGATGCCTCCAAGGTAGGCTGAATGCTATAGTACTGAAACTGCAACAGGACCAATGATCCAGAGACGAACTATGCATGAGTCCTCGGCCTCATAAGTAAGGGCATCTGGACCTGAAAAGCTAGGGAGAAATTCAAGACTCATGGTTCTTGGTCTTTGGTTAAGTCACTGATCTCATGGACAAGTTCATCTCCCCAGAAAAAAATGGCAACACAAAATTTCCTCATTTCTACCAATACCCTGGAGCCATCTGCAAAACCCTCAGGGACCTGTGGGTTAAGACTCTTCCATGGCCAGTCCACACTTGGGGGAGCAGACACAGCCAATGAAAGGACTGTAGGCACCACGGTCTGTTCCACCTGCCCACACAGGCTGCTCCCCTGGTGTTTCCCCAGGTTGCCAGCCTCATGCAGAATTGGATGAGCTGGGAGGACAGCAGAGTTCAGAACCAGATGGAGCCCAAAGAAGCAGTGCAACCGGTGTTTGCAGATTCAGGAAATAACTTGTTTGAAGAGATTAATTTAAGGCTTTTCATAGTGAGCCAAAGGAGAGCAGCAAGTTTCCTTTCTGAGACAATGGGCAGGTGAAGACTCCTTAACTTGGCTGGCATATCCCCCAGCCTGGGAGCTGCTGGGCATGTATGGACCAGCCAGGACTCTGGAGTCTGGAGTTTTTAATTCACACACCTGCTTTTTGTGCATCCAAACCCTTATCCATTGTTTTAACAGCTCTGCTACTCATTCGGCAACTGGCCTGCTACCAGGAAGCCCTTCTTCTGACAGTGACCTGAGGCTGGTGGGGGACGGAGTGAATGAGTGGGGAAAGTTGCAGGGACTCACTTTCTGCAGGCACTCTGTCTTCTCCTTTTTCTTGTTTCGGCACTTGGCGGCTGCGATCTTATTCCTTTCCCGTCGCCTCTTTTTCCTTTCATCTTCCTCAGGAGCTGCCTATAAGATCCAACAGACACACGTTTAATCTCATCATGAAATGCCACCCACCTCAAATACACTGCCTTTTACTGCCAGCAAAGTCTGACAAACTGCCGGGTGCGGTGATGCCCACCTGTAATCTCAGTGCCCCTGGAGGCTGAGGCAGGAGGATTGTGAGTTCAAAGCCAGCCTCAGCAACTTAGCTGAGGCCCTAAGCAACTCAGCAAGACCCAGCCTCTAAATAAAATATTAAAAAATGGCTCAGTGGTTAAGTGATTCTGGGTACAATCCCTGGTTAAAAAAAAAAAAAAAATCTGGCAAAATGGAACAGCCCTAATGCAATGGGACTCAGGAAAAAATAAATAAAGCCTTAGACTTCAGCCTGAAACCCTTCTACTACTACTACTACTACTACTACTACTACACACACACACACACTTGAGAATGAATAATGAAAACCAAAGTACTAAAATAGAATTATACTGGCAATATTAGTATATTAAAATCTAACCTACTCTAAAAATATCTATGGGTTTTGAAAGAAGATGTTGATATTTAAATTCATAACTATTGGGACTAACTAATCATTTAAAGGAGGACAGTCTATTTGGGAAATACAACCTTTCCCTTAGAACCAGAAACAACCTCAGGATCATCCCTTAGCCACCCTCTCCTGTTGCCTGTTCTTTGATTCAAGACCCAAGGGCAGTTTCATTCATCTCCATCCTCAGCTGGAGTAGCAGGTACTGCCTTTCTGAAATCAGCAGCTGGTAGAGCTCCTAGACAAAGAGCCCATTCTCAACCAAAGTGCCATGAATCAGCCCATAGCTTAGGTGCTATGCATAGTGGTAAATTAGACCCATCCATTGGTTTAGCCAACAGATACTCACCACCTCCTCCCCTATGCCTCACCTTGAGCCAGCCCTCAGTATCCCGGGAGGAAAAAAAACCCTATTCTGCTTTAGGATGTGGTCCTCTGTGGAAGTTCACTCAGACCCTGAATTTGTCCATGGGCCGATGAGTCACTGAATAGGCTTAGAGACCAAAGTCCAGCTGAGATGGTGAGCTAAATGGGTGACAGTTTAGGCTGTCGATGCCAGATCCTGTCATGTCACTTGTCCCTGCTTTGCACAAAGGAAAAGGCTATAGGAGCTACACCTCAGACCTAGCAGGTCTGGGATGCCATATTCACCTCATGACTGACTTGTAACTATTCCTTATATCTAAATAACATTGACTGCTTGGGCAGAAGGCCTTGCAAAGCCCAAGGGAGAATTATGGGGAGAGGAAAGTCTACCATTTACATCTGAGTCCCAGAACCACACAGGCACATACTTAGGCTGTAGACTAGACTGGTGTGAATTCCAGTGTCACCACTTAGTAACCATGAGCAAGTTACTCTTCTGAGCCTCAGTTTTCTCATTTGTAAAATGGATCAATAATAGTATTTACTTACTATGACCATGATGAGGATCAAATGAGTTAATATATATGAAATGCTTTGCATGGGGCTTAGCTTATACTAAGTGCTATATAAGCTTTAGTTACTGTTATTAATTTCACCATCAATATCTTCTTCAAGATATTGCAACCCTACAGATATTTATTTTGCAACACTGTAGACATTTTGGACAGGTGGAAGAGGATTCACATTTGCTCAGGAGGAAGCTCTTGAAAACAGAGTCACAAACTGTCCAGATGGAAGGGCTCTCTATGGCCCATTCAGTCCAGCTCCCTCATTTTACTAATGAGGAAACTGAGGCACGGAGTGGCCAGTTGAAATGTGCCCAGGAGGCCCCAGGAATCCTTTGAGGCTCTCAACCCCCAGACCAGTAAGCTACACACAACATAAACCCAGGCATTCCATTCCCTTCCTTCCTGTCACAGCTGCCTTGTTCACCATGTCACCTTTCCAAAGAGGACTGGGATCTGGGAAGCAGACTCATGATGCACAGATATACAGGATGCCTATGGCTTTGATGGGTGTGTGTCTTATTTGAAGGTGGGAATTACTACTCAACCATGTCTGCTGGTGCATTCTCTTTCCAATATGTTAATCTACTTGTCACACTGACCTAAGATCACAAAGTCAAGTGAATACAGAATCAGAGAACTCCCCAAGTTTCCTTCCAAGCTTTCTTCCTTTCTCTCCTACTAGTTCTATTTTATCCAGTTATCTCAAATTGTTAAAAAAAAAAAAAGAAAGAAAAACCCATTGCATGACCAATGTGATTCTGCCACCTGTACACTCAGAAAAGTGAGAAATTATATCCCATCTGATTCAAATGTATGATGTCAAGATCACTGTACTTTCATGTGTAACTAATTAAAACAAATTAAAAAATCAAAAAATTTTAAAAAAGAAAAAAAGAAAAAGAAAAACCCAACGATAGTGTCATTGGACTGAGTGAGCACTGGTAAAAGTTGTTTGGGTCCTTCTGAGGCTAACTGGGAACACAGCTAATGCCCCTAATGATGCTATATGGCCACAGCATTATAAATGGTCCTAGCTACCATTCATTGAATGCTATCAGCTAAGCTCTCTGCTGGGCAAGCACTTTACTACTGAGTTACAACCCTAGTCTCAACCTTTTTTAAACTCAGTTATTTGGGGCAGATTCCACTGCCCTTTGCCCTTTGCAATCATGCCAGTTAAGTAAGCTTGCAATAGTCCCATCTGGCAATCATCATGGGAAGGCCAACAAAATTGCAAGATCCCAGCTCTGACATCATTGAGCCAGCACAGCATCCCCAGCAATCATGTCTCCTATGTCTGTTATTCCATGTATCTTATGAAAGGTTGCCAAGTACAGAACAATGCAAGCATCTGAAACAGACATGAACTTAAGCATACACTTGGTACCAAGGCTGTAGGTATTGCTATAGGGAAGGGTGGGGCTGGCTACCTGGTCCTTGATTCATTGTCTGAAACCTTAGGTCCTGTTAGTGATAAAAAAAGAAATCACCATGCTACATTCTTCTTCAGAAAGACTTGATACAGAAGGTGACATCTTCCCAACTCAGGACTTCAATGTCCATAGGCTGATACCTTCCAGCTCTATATCTCTACCCCCATACTCCTCAGGACTCCAGGCCCACATATGCAACTATCTGCTCCATATCTTCAGTTCGAGCAGAACAGGAGGCAACTCCTGCTTTTGCACCACCTGCCTTCCCTGACTTCCTGCAGCCCCAATTTCAGCAGCAAATGGAAATTCCATTTTTATAGCTGTTCAGGCCAGAACATTGAGAGTCATCCTTGAGTCCTCCTTCTCCCACACTCCCTAACCAATCTATCAGTAAAGCAGATTTATCCCCAAGTCAGATCCAGAATCCAAACACTTCTCAGCAGCTGCACCATTCCCTCCTGACCCAGGCCCTCCTTCACTGACCTGGGAGGCTGCCCCTGTCTCATTTCTCCACACCCCTCCTTGCCCTTACCACCCATTCAACAGAATAACCAGGGAAATCTTTTTAAATATGTCAGAATATGTGACTCCTCTGCACAGAAACCTGTGCAATGGCTTTCCATTTCACTCTGGGCACAAGGCTATATCTACACAGCAGTCTATAAGGCCCAACATGATCTGCCCCTATTTCCCCTCCCCCACCACTCCACCCTGCCACACAGCCCACCTGGCACTGACCATGCTCCTCACTGGTGCTTTCTCTCTTTTGCCACACTGTCACAGTATCTTCCCCTCAAGTCCCTGCACAAAGGCCACCTTAGTGCCGCCATCTCTGCCCTTCTAATTTATAATTTAAAACAACAACCCCATCCTTCCCCACTCCCCCGTTCCCTTTTCTGCTTTTCCCTTTTCTGCTTTTCCCTTTGCACCTGTCTCATGCTCTGCATTTGATTTATCTATTTCACGTTATCGGTCGACAGTAGAAAATAAGCTCCCTAGGAGCAGCAGTTTTGCTTTATTCCCAACTCTAGCCGCCCCCCCCCCCCCGCCAGTCTAGAGAATGCACAGCATGTGGTGAATGTGCCCAAAACATAGGCAAGAATGAACACGTGTGGTAGAACCCACCTCAGCTTTTGTGACTGACATCTCCAGGGGTCTGTCGCTGACGGTGACTGACTCCAGTGCAGAGGACATCCGATGACAGAGGTGCTTGTTCTGGATGGCAAACCTCAGCTCTTCCTTGACAAAGGGTGTCAGGTTAGCAAAATCCTCAAATACCAGTGACCCAGGAGGGGACAGGCAGGGGACGATGGCGGAGGCACTGACTTCCGAGGCAGAGACCTGGCCTGGGTGTTGAAGCATCATTTTGCTGAAAGACACATTGAAACCCAAACTGCTTCAGGGGTTCTGGGGCATGGGATCAAGTTCTCCCCACCTATGACCCCCCCAACACCAGAGCCCAGCCCACTCCCTGAGGAAAGTCCCATTAGCCGTCAGGCTTCTGTTTTGTTTTCAATTCATGCCATTCTCATTTTGAGTAAAACAGGTTCTTAAAATACACAGCTCAGTGACGTGGATAAAATGCCTAATTGAAGTTTATAAGGGTTGACATTTCAAGCTATTCTGAACTCTTCCAAGAGTTATTAGTTTTGGCTGGTGTGCACATATGCAAATGTAGCCTTAGTCCTGAAAGAGGAAGAACATCTTTAAAAAAAAAAAAAATCAGACCATTTTTGTAATCCTATGTTCAGTCTCTTTCAAAAAGAAATTGGAAGGCACCTGAAGTCAATATGAATCTACCAGTGAGTGGAAGTAAAAGCAAGAAGTGGGGGACACTAGATTTAGCAAATCTATGGTTAAAACTTTTCCCCAGGAAGTTGGATCCAAATAATGGGAATGAGGAAGGTAACTATAGCTGGGTGTGTTTCTTCGCTCCAGTCCTTGGCAGCAGGTGGCGATGGCCAGGATTCAAGTCACGAGGGAACAAGTAGCTCCTTCTTAATATTAAGGTCAGCAAAAGACCTCAGAGTAAGATAAAGTCAGGAGCTGAGATCTGGACACTTGTATGGAGGTGTCGTTGAACCCTGAGGTATAGGGAAAGACCTGGGCTGGGGGTGGAGGGGGTCCTAGAATTGGCTCCAGCATTAAGGAACAGGTAACTTGGGTCAGTCACTTCAACTCTTCATCTGGTGAATGGTCAAGAGCTCCTGCAGAGCTGGGAGGAGTCTGCTGTTTACTCCATCCCACAGCCTAGTCCAGCTGTGCCTGATGGGATGGATACTGTCCAACTGAATAAATGAGAGGGGGATGGAGTAGTCAAATCAAATGGTCCCATTCTCCTGTGTCATGCTATATTGGGTCAGGGAACCCAAAGGGATGACAAAAGGAAAATAAAGGGTAGAAATAGCGATGGTTCCATGATCCCAATCCCCTGTAAGTCCCTGCCTGTTGTGGACTCCCCTGCAGTTGGTTCTCAGGAGCAATGAGGAGTATGAGGACTATCTGGGCAGGCAGTCCCATGGAGCAACCCTCTCAATCCAGGGATCTGTGGTCATTAGCCCAGCCCAGCCAGACAGGAAGCCCCTTGGCAAATCTCTAACTCTGAAGGAGTATCTCTTTCATTCCAGACCTCATGTGCCTTATGTCATTTAGTCCTTATAAGAACCCAGTGGGTTTAGTCCCAGCCCCAAATTATACATGAATAAACTGAGTTTTAGACCAACTAATATGCTTGAAGTCATGGAGGTATTATAGAGCAGTGTCAGAATTTGGTTTGTTTGGCCCTAGAACTCATTCCCACAATGTATACACTGCAAAACTGAATATTGCTCTATGTTGCAAAAACATGCATATTATTTTACATTGCAAAAACAAACTGGGTGTGGTGGCACATGCCTGTAATCCCAGCAATTTGAAAGGCTGAGGCAGGAGGATCACCAAGTTCAAGGCCAGCCTCAGCAACTTAGTGAGGCCCTAAGCAACTTAGTGAGATCTCATCTCAGAATAAAAAATAAAAAGAGCTGGGGATATGGCTCAGTGGTTAAGCACCCCTGGGTTCAATCCCCAAAAATCAAAGGAATTTGGGGTGGGGAAAGGGCAGGTGACAGGCCTGGAACTGAAACAAGAGAAGGGAGGAATAAATTGCTGATCTTTATATATCAGGGTACATACTTAACTGCTGCCTAAATTAAAGAACTTACATTTAAATGGGCTTTTCTGTTCACAAAATTTCCAGACTGGGATCAGGAAATCAAAATGTGAGACCACATAGTATGTCTCCACTGTACCTCTTAATGGCTTTCTCCTCTGTAAGAGGAGGCTAATAACAATTAACCGAGTCATTTTCACCAGGTTTCCAGGAGTGTTTCTAGCCCAAGGCCAGCTCTTTGGCTGGCACTCTGTGAGGTACACGTGGAAGGGTGGCTGGTCACCATCTGAAAGGTTTCTGATTAAAACACCCCAACCTCTAATTCCTACTGGAGATCTGAGATACAAGGCAAGAATTCCAGACCAATGAATGGACTAGTCAAAGAAACCCAGGAAATATAATTCTTCTCCAGAGCTTCAAAACTGAAGTTCTTCTCTTACTTAATCCTATAATCTTAAAATGCTGGGAGGATACTTCTTGGACAGATGATAGACTCTAAGCTTCTGAAGCCAGAGGCTTAGGATTCTCCCATGCATTCCTCCTATTAAAAATCTAATAGTTCAGGGATGGAATTTGGAGCTACCACTGGGCTGGCTTTGTTTGGAGGACCGGATGGATCCCTTCTCCAGGGAGGCTTGAATTCCACTGCAGTTGAGTGTGTGTTATCTTGCCACCCAGCTAAGTTTATTAATGAGCCCTCAGGGCTTGGGGGTCTGCTGTTTGAAACTTTCTTTCTTTCTTAGCAGTCCTAATGAAATAAACTGAAGGTCAGTGGTGTGGAATGTTTTTATAAAAAGCATTGGGCGGGCTGACTTGGGGACAGAGATGAGTTGCAAAAATGTTGAGCTTTTCTGAACATAAAGAATTTGTAAAGATTTAGGCTTTCTCTGCACTAGGCTAAAGCTGAGCCTATGGGGGGGGTACTTTCTAGATTGTCCTTCACTCAGTCTCTTGTGGTATGATTTAGCTTAGACACTGGTTGTGTTCCCAACAAAGAAAATGAAATTAAATCTTCAGACAATTTTTAGAAAATTGAAGCCCTTTAACATCCCCTTCATTGAAGAGAAAAACTATGTTTGGGGGACTTTAGATGATCTGAGTTAACTTTCTACATTGATGATAAAATTGCTTAGATCCGATACAAAAGAACTTGTTTCCAATCAGAAAGCATGTCATATCATTGCGAGTTTCATCATTTTCAAGAAAGTGAAACTTCACTCGTGTATTTCTTTAACTGGAAATTCAGCTCCCAGATTTTTATTTCCTGGTAGCTACACAGTGAATTTTCACTTTTAATTTTCATTTCTTTCCACCAAGCACTCCTTGCTAACCAACTTACCGTAGTAAGAAGCCAATATTGACCTTTCAATATGGGTCTTTCTCCCAGCCTATTTGAAGGCTTGAGGTGTAAGGCTGAGCTTCAGGGTCAGAGACAACGTTTCCAAAACTCTCTCTACCACTCACAAGATGAGTACCTATATACCAACAAGCCATTGAGGCTTTCTGGGTCTCAGTCTCCTCATCTATAAAATGAGATCAAGTCTGCCTGCACCAGTTCTCTCAAAGGGCTGTCAAGAAGAGCACCCGAGGGGCTGGGGATATAGCTCAGTTGGTAGAGTACTTGTCTTGCATGCACACACATTATTACTGTGACTCCACTGTCCCATTTCAGGTTAGCCCTATTTATTAGTCAGGAATTAACTGGAACCCTTGAGAACTTCAGGTCAGCCACAGCCTCTTGCGTACTTTGATTAACCCCCAGGTTCCTAAGGCACCAGGTAAATTCCACCACCACCACCCCCATTTGCTGACACAAACATTCTCCACTGGTGTTACATACTTGAGAGATTACCAATTCTCATACACAAAACCATTTGTTCCTAGAAAAGTTTCCGTGGTGTCCTGGCTATACCCTTCTTCCCCCCTTGGCTGGGCAAAACTTGGAGACACTGACCCTGTTCCATGCCCAGCCAACTTTTAAAAGTTAGAAATCAAGGGCTGTATCTAGTGGGAATCATAAAATGCCCAATATTAGAGTCATGTAGGTGAGATCCTCATTTTGTAATTAAAGTAAATTGAGGCTCAAGAAGGTCATAAAGCTGGAGATTGGCCCAGTCAATATCAAGTTGTTGACACCTACCCACTACTCATTTTGCTCTATCAGAAAAGGGATCCATCACTTAGATAAACCAGGGAGATAACCAGAGAATAAAATCAGTAGCCAGGTAGATGAGGGATCAACATGTACCAGGGAGGAAACTTTGACAGGACTAAGACAGGGAGGGATTACAGAAGAAAAGGCCATAAAGAGAGAGGAATTATGCAGTGATAAGGATGAAGAGGGAGAGGAAGAGAGAGGCGGGGCTATGACAGGAAGGACGTAGCTGCCACCTGTGCTGGGTGCTGTATTTCATCCACACTGGGGGCCTAGGCACCTGTTTTCTTTACTGACTCTGAAACCACCCAGGCACTGACTGCAACCCCCACCTCACTGAGGATACCCTCAAAGCAAGAGCTTCTATGTTGTAGCACTATCCTACAACAAATGTTAGATGCAAAACTAGATGGGCAGTAGTACCAATCTCCTCTTCATCTTAAGTTGAGGAGACAAGATTCCCAAACAGAAGATGTGATTATTATCCACATTGAAATAGATATATTGGGAGAACACTCAGATTATTTAGCCAATTCTTTTTCTGGCTCTCCCAAGGAATTGGCAACTCCTTTATTTGTAAGAAAGCATATGTGATAGAGGCAGGTATGGTGGTGCACTCCTGTGATTCGAGCCACTCTGGAGTCTGAGGTAAGAGGATCCCAAGTTGGAGGTCAGCCTTTGCAATTTAGCAAGACCCTGTCTCAAAAATAAAAATAAAAATGAAAAAAAAAAAAGCACTGAGGATATAGCTCAATGGTAGAATGCCCCTGGTCCAAAAAAAAAAAAAAATTGTAGATGTAATCTTTGTACTTAATGAAACTAAGGGGGAAAAATGGTTAGGAGGAAAGGAAGTAAGTAATTCAAAGGCAGACTCAGCAAATGTGAGGTGCTAAGCAACTCGGTGAGACCCTATCTCTAAATAAAATACAAAGTAGGGCTGAGGATATGGCTTAATGGTTGAGTGCCCCCGAGTTCAATCCCGGTAACCAATAAAGAAAATGGGGGGTGGAGGCAAAGGAGACCCAATGGGAATAAAGCTGGGGACGGACAGAGATGCCACATAGAGAATCTCCCCTTTCTGCCAAGGTCTCAGAGACGAGCCAGTGATGTTACAGATCTCCTCATTCAAGTTTCTTCGCTGGCCCCTTTTTTTCAGTTACATCACACTAAAATCTGAAAATCTTCAGCCAGGAAGGACCTTGATGTTAATCTGATCCAATCACCACATCGTGCTCTTCAACAGGCAGGAAGGGTCGGTAGTGTCTATGTGCTCATTATTTCCCGACCCGGGACACCGAAGCTCAAGGACAGAAAGTGCAGTATAAGCTCTAACAGTCCTGGCACTAGATCACAAGCATTCTCTTAAATATCTGTACAACTGACTCCACACTATCGCTTCCCCCGATGGTGGATCTCCATGAGCGCAAAACAGAAATGTCGGAAAACTCAAAGGAAAAGTTTGAGCGAGAATCACAGGTACTAGAGAAAAGACCATGAGACTGGAAAAGGAAGTCCCAGGCCCAGGAGCCCGACACCAATCGGTGTTCCGAGTTCTCTCCGCCTTCCGCCCTAAGACAGCGCAGCACCGAGGCTCTCACCAGCTCCAAACTTATTCCAACTTTCGCTCTGGGCTCCCTATGCGATCCTACCTTCAAAGGCTTGGGTATGCACAGGATGACCCCCAGCGGCAGTTTCCACTATCCCGGCTCACCCACCCCTACCCCATTCATTCCTCCCTGAGCCTGCGGCAGCGCTTCCAAGAGCCCTCAGCGATCGCACTTCCCTGTAGACTTGGGAAAGATCAGTTCCAAGTAGCCGAGCTCCGACAAGAAGTGAGGAAAGGAGCGGGACGGCGAGCCAGATCGCTTGGGTCACCCCCGCACACCACCACCCACCCGCCCCTCGCCCTCCCGCAGTGGAGGGCCGAGAGGCTCTCCCAAGACGGTTGCGGAGCAGGCGCCCTATCTCCTCCTCCACCCGAAATCTTTCGCGCCCCAAGTCAAAAAGAGAAAGTTCTTTCACTTTTCGAGAAACTTTCTGAAACACTGAGGAGCAGCCGCGGCAGCCGTGAAATTCAAACAGAGCTACTTTTGCAGTCGAAAACTAGGGGCGAGGGTCAGGGATTGGCGTAGATTTCTGGCAATTGATTAAGAGAGGGGCGCGAAAGGAATGAAATCTAGCCACCCTCGCCGCGTTCATTCACTCAGCTTCCAGCGCTCACCTCCAGTCTCCGCTCGTGACGGCCAGGGTCCGGCTGTTTTTCTGTCCGGCGGTCGGTCGAGTACCGAGGACTCACAGCCGGCGCGCGGGCTGGCGGGTCGGCTCCGACTGCGGCGCAGGGAGAGAGTTGTGTAGTGCGCGCTTCGCGGAGTGCGACTGTGGCTTGGAGCGCGTTGCATCACCCCTTTTATAGCCCTCCCTCTGGCAGCTTGCTGGTCTACTCCGGGTTAGCAGTCTAGGCTGACGTAATGCTATTAATAGCTTCCCGGGAGAACCAGCAGAACTGAGCAAAGGAGGAGGGCTAGAGGAGGGACCAAGGCGGGGCGAAGTACGGCTGGAGGGCGGGGGTGTGTGGGGGGGTGAAGCTGGTGATGCAAGCTCTGGGAGGAGCCTGCCGCTGTGCGTTCACCGGTCCTCTCACGCCTGGGACACACACCCGCCCGCCCTCTTTCTCCATATCAGGTCCGGAGCGGCCTGGGCGGGCCGCCAGATGTGCTTACTCGCGGCTGCGTGTTCCAGGCATGAGCCAATGGTGCCCAAGCCAGCGGCATGACTCCACCGCTTTGGCATCTCTCCCTCCGCTAGTTTTGGGGGAATGGTGGGGAGGAGGATCCTGGCCGCAACCCAGACTAGGTGAGTCTGGGAAGCGGGCACGACCTTTCTCTAAAATGCATGGTCATTTTCTGGAGTTTCAAGGAAGACGCGCCCCCCACCTCTCCACCACCACCACTAGTCACCTCTTTCTCAGGCAGGGGGAGGGGGAGGGGCAGAAGCGCTGATTTAGGGTGTAGGAGAGTCGCCCGAAGTCGCCCTAGGGTGAGTTCCCTCGGTTACCACGCTGGTGTGACCTCCGCAATGGGGACCTCCGAGAAGCTGGCAGGTTAACTCAAACGCGGCAGGCATCATACTCCTGAGCCCTCAGCGCTAGCACACTCCACAGAACGCACTCGCAGGAGCGCCTCCAACTCGCTGGGAAGGAACCCCAGATGCCCGTGAGGGCGAGTGGTAGGACGCTGTCAGTTCCGTTAAAACACACCCCCCCCCCCCCCCCCCCCCCCCACCCCCCCACCCCCCCCCACACACACAGCATTTAAAATAGGCTATCCTCACTGAAAGCCCCTAGAGCATGAGAAGAGGAGAGAGAGACCTAGAGAAATCAGAAGCAACCCTGAGCAGGGTTAAGAAGGGGCTGAAGCCGAGGGACCCGGGAGACCTAGAAAGAGAATATCCCCGTGGGACCAGGCGGGGGTCCCCAGGGTCTCAGGCACTATTTAGGAGAAACCATCTTCGGCTTTCTCGTGGAACCCAGATGGGATTGGTCTGGGACACACGGATCGGACTGAGGACGCACTGATAACAGGCTGCATGAGGCCCTTGCAGAAATTCCTTCTACCCTCAAACCCGGATGGGGGAAAAGCGGGTCCTGTGGCCCTAGTTTCCAACCGAGGCCTCAACAGAACTGACTTTGACTCGTTGTTTTTAACAATTTCCCTGACTCCAGCTGTTGGAGTTCAAAGCCGCAAGACCTGAACTCTACTACCTTCTCCACTGCCCCTGGATGATTGGATATGAACATAATTTTAACCCGGGAGTTTCGCATCTGCCGGGGAAATGGAACTGCGGGCGCCGGAGTGGTGTGGTGGCTCAGCCAAGGACAGAGACGTCTCCTTCCACCTGCCTCTTGACAAGAGAGACAAAGGCGATCGAAGGTCATAGTTGTAATTTGGGGTGAGAACTAGAGTAGAGAAGTCTCTAAGCTCGGGTCTCACCCGCAATCGCCACTCCCACAGCACCTGCAGCTTCGCGGTTAAGGTGGTAAAATAGGGTCCAGCTAAGTGTGTGTCCCAGGGCGCGCGCAGGATGTCAGCCAGTTGGTCAGTCTGTCTCTCTCTCTCTCTCTCTTTCTCACACACACACACACACACACACACACACACTGGGGAATCGGCGACCCCCTGGGGCTGACAACCATTTTCAGAGCTTCAGGGGAAACCGAGTTCACAGCACTCGGGGTTCTGGCCTCCAAATTGGCGCCTCACTAGAACAAACCCCCTCTCTTCCAGCCTTGGGCCAGAACCACGCGTAGGGCGTCCTCGGAAGTCTCCCCGCCCTATCGGCCAGGGAAGCCTGGGGTGGTTCCACCGCGGGATCCCCGGAGATCCTGCCCTGAGTCTGACCGGATTTCCAGCGGTCGCGCGGGAAACGGGCGGGTGTTTTGCTTTACTTTTCTCCTTGGTAACGGCTCTTCCCGCTCCACCCTGTATCTCCCACGCCCACACCCGGCTCCACACCTTTACACCCCGCCCTCCAGCCGACCTGCGGGCAGGTAAATCCTGGGCGTGTCAGCACAACCCCTAGAATGCCAAACGACTTTAAATGGCAGAGTGTGCATTTAAGTGAAAGTCGTTTGGGATTTCTGTTTATGTTTTGAATCTACTTATAGACCATACCGAAATAAAAATAGCATTATAAAGTGAAGCAAGGAGATGAGGGAGAGCATGCAAAGGTTCTTGCTCCCCCCCTCCCTGCTGTGAACCACCTACAGAAATCTTTAACCAGCTTACGTATTAAATTATGATTCTATTAATCCAACCAAGTTAGATTTATAGAGGTTTGGCTTAGTCCTTAAGGGGAAATTCAATTTAGGGCGTGGAGTAAACACAGCCAGACCCGTATCCACAAAACAATGTAAGAGAAGGGTAATAAAGACGGGAGATGTCCCCAACACATTATCGGCTCGGTTTTTTTATTACAGTTGTGCTTCGAGTTCTTCCTAACCTTGCTTCATTCTAGTCATTCTTAGAATTTTGAATCTCCAAGTCGCACCTGGATAGAAACGCTGTCAGCTGTTTACAGAACTCTGAGTCTGGTATTCTCTGCCTCTCTCCTCCTGAAGCCGTAAAAGCGATAAGAATCTTGGTGGAGAAGTGAATCCACCCCCACTTGAATGAAACTCTTATCCAAGGAAAACAAAAATTACTTCTGCCTGTCTCTTTCCTCAGCCCCCAGAAGAATTTGTAATATACCTACTGAATTAAAGAGAGACTAGGAAAGAGCAATGGAAAGGAAGATCCCCGCAAGGTCTGCGAGACAGGAAAAGTATCCCTATCTGAGTCCTGTGGGTTCTCATTTTACCCTGGCTTAAGTTAATGCGACCAATGTTCAGCGTGCACACTTGTCACCACATGCACAGGCAGTACCATGCAGAGAGGGATAAGAAAATCTCCCCACACCAAAGTCACTCCTCTATGTATGCAAAGGCAAAGAATGATTGCCCTGCCTTAGAAGGAAGCTCTGACTAGGGTTAATCCTCAATAAAAGAGGGTGAAGCAGAAACTTGAATGTGGCTGAGGTTTTATGGTGGAGTAGCGCCTGGGGAATCCACATTCAAATCAGCCTTGGTATGTTTTGCTGAGTGAGATAAGAATTGAAGACTTCATGCTGTGGCATGTGCAAAAGGAAGGGGAAAAAATTAAAAGGAGAGGGGAAGGAACTAGGCAGCTAAAAAAAAAGTCCACTCGTGGCAACCAAATCTAAACACAAAAACATTGCTGTGAGCCAAAAGAAAAAAAAAGAAAAGAAAAAAGAAAAAGTTCAAGAGATATTTAAAGTTTTTTTACAATTCAGCACACAGTCCCTTCCCACATTCCTCTCCTTGCATTACTCTGTGCTCCAAACCCCAAAATTATATTTGCTCAAGGAACTCTAGCAACACAAATTAAAACCAGCCATGGAAGCATCAGGGCACTAGTAGTAGCCGGGTCCACCTGGTTCAACCCATTTCTCCACTGAGGAAAGGGAGTGGGTGTATTTTCTTCTTTGGTCTGCTTTCCCAAGACCACACTTCCTACAAAGTCAGCTTGAATGTGGGGGTTACTAATTTAGAGTCTCCAAAATTGGCACCCTCAGGATGTGAGGCAGCATCACACAGTAGACTGGAAAGTGTGGGAGGTACTCTAGTTCTAGATTCAGCATTTAACAGCTGTGTCCCCCTTAGGAAAGTCATTTCATTCCCCAGGTTTGTTTCCTCAAAAGAAAAGTGGCACTAATCATAGCACTTGACACATAAGGTACATTGAAGACAGGGCACACAGTCTGCCCTCAGTAATGGTATCATTAATTCTGAACCAGGGAGGGTTTTCTGGGAGATCCCTGAGTCTCTCCCAGAACTTACTCTGTCCCCTCACCCCACCATCACCAGTAAATATCATAGGTCAAGTCAAGAAATGTACAGAACAACAAAGAGACCTCTGGCAGGAAACAATGAGAGTGGTCGTATTCTCCAGTTACAGCAAATCCACGACACACTGGGGCTTTCTCAGGGATAGGTGGATTACTCTGCAAAGCACCTTGGGCTGGAAACAGGGGATTTGAATTCTCTGGTTCTGTCTTTGATATTCTCTAGCAAGGTTTACCCTCTTTTAAACCTCCCACATTTTCTGAAGTGGGGAACTCTGGGCTAAGCTCTGAGGGTCCTAAATGGAGACCTTTGGCCAAAATCATACTGCAAGACCCTAATAACCTGTTTCTAAGAGAGCTGGAGAGAGAGAGAGAAACGTTGTAGGAGGGAAGGTATTGAATGGCACAAGATCCATGGCAGGTTTAAATCTCCAATACAACCTGCCCTCTTTCTCCCTCCTTCTTTCAACATTTTCAAGAACTTTTGCCCACATGGACTTGGGGCTTTGCCAGAGAGGAGAGTGGGAAGGCACCCTAGGCAGAGATTACATCTTTGGGGATATCTCATGTGTCTACCATCGAGAACCATAGACACCCACCTTGGATCACAGGGTCAAATCCATTTAAGAGAACACATTCTGGAGCCCCAAGAATCTGAGATGAAATCCTGGAAGCCAAAGGGTTAGCAAGACTTAGATCTGAGAGCCACCCACAGGTTGACCTTCCACCAACTCAGTGACTTAGTGAAAATCATAAACATATTATATCAGTTTTCCATTTTACAAAATGGAATTACTTAACATTAACTCCCCAAAGAGTTGCTGTAAGAATCAAATGAGATAAGAGATGTGACAATGATCTGAAAATAATTAAAAGAATCATACTTTTAAAGATTCCTTTGTGGAAACTTTTTTATGACAAATATTTGCCATTACAAAAACTGGGGAAACAGACAAGAGAAAAAGT